TCCCTGAAAATTTAGGACTATATTTTCGTTTTCTGTATTAGACCTACATAAAATATAGTATATGTCTTTGTATTAAATTATGAATTAACTAATGTTAATTTTAAGTGCAACCTTCAACTGAAAATTAACTTTATAGTTGAAATGCCCGACACTACTTTTTAGAATCGAGAATCTTATCTTATACCCGAGGTCTTGTTTGTATTGAAGGTTACTATTTTTTGTCGATTCGGCTATTTTATAAATGAAACCCAAAAAACGGTTAGTACACATATATTATTTAATTATTTTAACTAGAAAACAGGTTTTGTTTTTTTTGTTAGGAGGACAAAGTCGGATAAAATAGCTTTATCCAATCGTTTCGTTGATTGCGTGTATTTAACAATTTGCTGAATTTTAAACAGCTTTTTATTATTTATAAAATATATAATAATTAAAAGTTTTTTGAAATAAATATTTAATTTTTTGCAACTGATTTTTTTGGAAATTTAAAATATTAACAATAACTTATAGCAACTATAAATTTTGGAAAAAATATTTTTTTTCTTCTTACAATTATAATAAATTTAAATAATGTATTACAGAATCTTATTAAATGATTTATACTATACAGAACTAACCTCTTATGTAGAGGATTTAATCCCGGGATCTCGAAAATCGGGATCCCGGGATCTCGACCACTTTTCAGTCCCAAAATTTTCGGGATTAAGTTTTCCTAATCCCGAGATTTTCGGGATTGACATCATTTTAAAAAAAGTTGCAAAATAGACTGCATGAAGCGAAACGTTCAGTGCCAGTGCTTTTAACAGAATTGCTTGCCTATCATTTTAATATAAAATACAAGAAATTTTATTCCAAGCAAGCAGCAGAAATTAACCTAGCGGGCTTGCGATGCTTGCTTGGAATAAAACTTCTTGTATTTTCAACTAAAATGATAGGCAAGCAGTTCTCACTGGGTTACTTGGTAATATACTTCATTTTTGTATTTTTGAATTTTCGCGGGCGCCAATCGATTTTCTGGCGCAGTCGAGAGCACTACTCAGTGCGTTTTACCTGTCAATGTGTCAGCCATCTTGTTTTGCCAGTGTGGTTAATATAGACCCGACGCCTCTCGCTTAGGGGGGTCGACCTTAGGTGAAAAGGTTACGACCCTCGCCTTGCCCGCGATCTGTCAGGATGATGCGAGAAAGTCTTTTTACGTTTCGGGGTAGTGGTTTGCTGAACGCTGAGAGACTCACACAGAGACCGAATTTACAAAATTAACGCGTTTATTTTTTGAAAAACATGCTTACAATGATCGAAACAATCGGGATTATAGCCTTTACTCCTACAATCCCGATCCGTGTCGACCGGACTGTTTTCTTCCATCCTCCCCGTGTCCTCGAAGCTTATAAGTATTTACTAACGATTCCTCCAACTTCCATCAACCTAAACGCGTTTTCTCTGCAGCTGCATATATGTGCAACAAATTGAGAAGCAGACTTGGTGATGAGACACTAGATGCGTTGTTATTTCTCAGATCATATTTTCGCAATTCAAATTAGAATGTTCCTATTAAATTAGTTTTCTTTATATTTAAGAAAAATGTGACTGATTAATATTATTTTTAAATACTTTTTGCTAAGAAACTTACTTTACTACCTACTTACTAGGTTGTTATATGAAAGTAGTCTATTTAGTCGATGTTAAGAGAGATTTTTGTTAATTTTCAAGGTTTATTTGCATAGTTTGTTATATAAAGGTTTTTTCAATTTATGTGAGTTTAAAGAGATGTCAGTGATGCTTAAAAAAGAATAAATTTAACATGAAACAGTTATTTTAAGTCTGGTTAGTCTGACTGTAAGTCTGATTAATTAGAGTGATTAAATTAACTAGGTGTATACCGTAAAATACGTTGATTTTTGTCTAAATTTTGATTTTTGATTTCTGTAAGATTTTCTTATTTTTTATCAACCCTCAATACCGAAATAATCCCGGGATCCCGGGATTGAATAAGTATAATCCCGAAATCCTGGGATTAGAAATAAGGACCAGGATCGAATTCCCTACTCTTATGTTAAAACGTACCGCGCTTCTCTATATCGATGTCTTATCCTGGAGGCATTGTTTAACAGCCTTTTGTCTATTTTCGTGCTATTTTCCCCTTACCATTTCCGCCCACACGTCATCTATCTCCATCCCATTATTTAAGTTAATGGTGTTGTGTGCATTTACAATTGCCAAATGTTTGTTGACCTTCGTAAAAATTATACTTTTCTTTGTGGTTTATTTTTATATTATTATTAGTGATTATACATCCAAATTTATTACAATGATCAGTCCATGGTGATTGGTTATTTTTAACCAGATTATTGTTTCATGCTAACTTACTCTAGTCCTAAGTTAGCCTTCCTGTTTTACCTATGTAAATTGCTGGTATTTTAGCTCATACACAATATCTACTTCGTCTAGTTTTTCTTTATTTTTAATTTTATTGATATTAATATTATTTTTGATTTTACTTTTTAGTTTGGCTGCTAGTACAACTCCATATTTTTTAAAGCATTTCTGTATTTTTCATATGTACTGTACCTTTAATACAAGGGAATGATGTATATATGACGTTATCCTCTTTTTTATTTTTAAAATTAAATCTGTTTTCTATGAATTGCGTTATTTATTTTTATAATAGTCTTCTTTGGTAATTGATCAATATAAATGAATTTAGTCGGTGGTGGGTTGGCATCTGACCAACAGACTGGTCACGTGGAGTTATCCGAATTTTCTTCACGTAAATAACACCCGAATAGTGTTTCCTATAGAAAGTCCTCACGGCAGGAATCCTTCCTTGGAGGTTGTTCATGCGATGCTTTACATTATCTTATAAAATTTATAACTTCGAAATAATCCAACCTTTCGACAGGAAATGACCACAGATATGAAATATAAATTATATAATTTAATAGAAAATTATTTGAAGGTTTTTTATCTGATGGGATTTATTCTGAAGTTTTATTAAATAGCTATATTTTAAGGCTTTTATTTATTAGTATAATATCTATCAAGAAGGAAAAATATAGTTATATTTATTGTTAGGAAAAATACAAACATATATTTTTACAAAAAATAGTTTTGTTCTAAACTATAAAAGGAAGTTAGAAAACAACACCTGAGGGTAGATTTAGAATATTTATTATATGAATAAATTCTAAACAATTTCAGATTGTTTATTATCGCCTACGGAAATACACACCATAAAAATTAATTTAAAAAATCCACGTGTAATAATAAATAATTAGAAACATTAAAATCTTTTTAATTTTATTTCCTGTATAAAATCTTGTAATTATAATTAAAACAAATACATTTAAAATATTTTAAAGTAAATCGAATTATTATGATTTTAAAGTTTTTCTAAATTTTTATATACTTTAAATTAATTAATAATTTTTATTAATTTAATAAACACAATTAACTAAAATTAAATCAAAATGAACATACTCCAGCTCCAAATTCACAGATTATTATTGCACTTTGTGTTATTTTAATTCGAATTATTATTATTATTTTTTTAATAATCCTCCACGTCAGTAATGAAATTGAACAAACAAAATGAAAAGGGCCAAATAAAATAAATGTATTTAATTAATCATTTATCTAAAATATAATAATTCTTTTGTAAATAAAAATAATATTTTAAATACTGTAATATATAATAACACCTATATGATTACCGATTGTAGATATGTAAGTTATTATCTGAAGAGAATACATATCTATACAGATATGTATTATCTGTATAGTATAAATAATTTAAATACTGTAATATATAACAACACCTATATGATTACCGATTGTAGATATGTACCTTGTATTATCTGAAGAAATCCAAGTGAAACAAATTTTGCAGGAAAAAAGTGTTGATGATACCTCTTAAAAAAAGCAGCATTTATTTGTTGTTCTTGGTGTAGACAGAATTTTTGTTTTGAATGTTTTTATCATAAGTATCATTCACGATCATGTACATCTGACAATGATATGTAATTATATAATATTGCTTCAGTAAATTATATTCGTTTTTCTTGGTTATATTTGAGTTTTGCACTTTACAAGTTAGTATTTTACATCACTGTATAAAGAGTTATCATCAACAGTTTTTCGTCACAACGTGAAGAACTTGCTTCTCTTGACGGCATTTTTTGATTATAAAATAATTTTTCAAAATAAGTTTTACTACACAAATACGTCTATTCGTGTCGAAATTTAGAAACGAACTGTTAAAGAGTGAGTGAAAAAGAACTCCGATAGAAAAAACGCTCCTAGTGAGAATTAGATCGGTCACCGTTAGTGATAACAATTAGATGGGAAAGTTGACACATAGGTGTCAAGAATGCGCCGTTATTGTCAACAAAAGTATAAAAATATTAGACTTGGAATAGTAGAAATTAAATTAAAATAAATAAATAATAAGAAATAAATGAATGAGTAAATAAATAAATACATTATAAGTATTTATGAATTAAAAAAAAAATTTTACGCGAGAATCGAACCCGAGAACTCAAGCTTATGAATCAGACTCGTTACCACTCTGCCACAGGACGCTCGAATAGAAATACGTATAATTTATATATAAAGTGCTAACAAAACTTTAAGTTCGATTTTCTCGATTATATTTGAGTATTGCACTTTAGTATTTTACAGATAGTACACTAACATCGTGTACTACCTCTACACCAAAGATCATCAAAATCCGTTACCCCAAAGCCGTAGGCTCTCCTTGTCAGACACTTACAGATACCTCGTCGCAGCTTCCACGAAGATTGAACTAGCTTAGACAAAACCGCACATAACCATGGTTTCAGAGGATTTTTCAACCTTATTCATCCCTGCATGTTTAGTGGAACCGACTTTTCAAAGGCTCTGTTCTGAGCACTACGAAGAGTGAATGCTGCACAGTACGACATCTTCTTCGAGAAATAATTAATTCATTATTAATTAATGTCAAAAAGCGCATTGAAACGTATTTATGTACAAATTTCTGACGATTGATAACCAAAATTTGCATGCCCGTCGACTTTCTGGTCGAAGTTTTTACTTCTTTTCTTTCTTTCGCACATTTTCGATTTCATGTAACTCAGTGTCGATAAAATAACCGGCAAAAATACCAACGCAGTAATAAAAGAAACCATAATAACCAAAAATATTATTTTAAAAATCGTTACAAATATATACGCCAACGGAATGGCTAAAGGTAACACGGCAATTATTGTAGTTGCACTACCTTGAAATATTGCAAATCCTACACAATCCATGCTATGACGAAGACGTTCATTGGAACCTTCAATGTCGCAATGTCTATAAGCGTAAGAAAGATGAGCAGAATAATCGACCGAAAAACCAGAGCACATGACTAAGACGATTATAGACACTGGTGCCAATTCCATATCCCACAGAGCCATGTAACCCAAAGTGGAAATTTCTATAGTAATAATCGAAAAAGCTACCGAAAACGTAACGACAACGTCTGGCATAAAGACGAAACAAACAAAAATTACAATTATCACAATACTACTCAACAGTTGAACAGTAAATTTTACATGCAAGTCAATGCTGTCGACAGCAAAATTTAAAAAGTGATAGGAAAACACTCTGAATGACATTTTATTAGTGATTTTCCTTAGTCTCTGTAAAGTCACGTATAATAATTTTTCGTCGACAGTGAAATCAGTCTGACAAAGAAATCTGCTTCCAACGATAGCTGTATAATCAGAGTTGAAGGCAATATCATTACGAAATCGTTGTGCATACGGATGACGTAGAAACATTCGGCGCAGAACTACAATAAAATCTTTTGTGTCGCTCATGTTGTACGACTTTACGATCGCAGACATTGAATCGTCTTTGACGAATTCCACGAAACTTCGGAGCCAAGACTCGGTAAGAAAATCTGCAATTAATCCTTCTCTCTCCATTTCAGAGAAAAGTTTTTCTATTTTATTCTGAACTTCTACATCTGCATAATTTATTTCTTGATCGACAACGATTTGGATTCTGTATTCGTAATGCTTGAAATATTTAAAAACATTTTTATGATACTGCAAGTAATATGAATCGTATGCAGAAGAGTCGGATAATGATCCTATAATATCTGTTTTTGTCACTCCCCAAACTCCAAATGCCACGTAACCTGCCATGATGAAGAGAATAATTATCATGACATACCATAAGAATAAAATATTACCGAGCTTCGTCCAAATTGATGACGAAGGAGTGGTCATGTCTTTAGTAGATTTCCAAGAATCGGCGGTGAAGAGCATTTTTCGAATCCGTGAGTGGTTTTCTAGAGAGAAAAATTTATTTTTATTAGTGTCTTGAAGCGCTACCAAATGATACGTTATATTTTTACCTGTTTGTGTACTTATTTTCGTAAAGAATAAAGAATGTCTTTCTTGTTTCTCTACATATCCAAAGAGTGCCATGCATGCACCGATGAACGTTATCTGATAAATATAACAGAAGATAATAGCAATCGATGCATATAAACAAAAATAATATATGGATCTGAAAGGTGTAAACAGTCCCGAAATGAAAGCTATGAAATTCGTTACTGAAGTTATAGTAACAGAAATGGCAGATTCCGAATAAACTTCCGAGAGTCTGTCTGGAACGGTCTTCTGTGGATCGGTTCTTTTCCACGCAGCAAGAAAAACAAAAGCGTCATCCATGGTTACTCCTGAAACGAAAATTGCATTCAAAAAGTCTGATGAAAGAATTATAAAAAATGAAAATTCTTATTAATAACGTAAACATTAAACTAAATTAAGAAAAATAATTTAGAATTAGACTACAGTAAGCTTGTGTTATCTCTTACATGTACTGTACAAAACAGTTCGTATTGACAATTTATATAACGAAGAATATTTAAAGGAAAAGGTGCAGTGAACTGAAAATTTTTAATGGATTATTTATCCGAAACTGGACTTTGTTTTTATAACCTATTATAAAAATGGTTTATAAATTTAAATATATTTATAAATAATAGTTAAATATTTTCTTGTGCAGTTCATTTTTACTGAATTAGATTTAACACGAATGTGTTATGTGAAATATTACAAATATATCTTTAATTACTGTAAATATCGGAGCAAGTGACGCAGACAGATCGGATGAGATATCAAACGAAATTCTTCAAGATCGTGTTTATTCCAACATTTAGCGTGCGGCCATTTCTTCAACGTCACACTCTTCGACGAAAAATAGGTAGTCCGTTTAACGAATCTTAGATCCAACATGTTGGTAGCCGCTAAGGAAGCAGGTGATGCAAGAATCTATTTTTTTCCTCTTTTTCAAGTTATTATCGAATCCTCAGCAAATAGCCTCCTTTCAAGCGGTCAGCTCGAAGAACCAATCAATTATACACCAATTGCGACGTCGACCCAAGACACCCAGCGAGACTGTTGTTATTCTAATGCAAGAATTAACCTTCTACTTCATTCTTTACAACTCCTTCAGCAAAGGACAATTCTTGCTCGATTTTAAAAAAGAAATTATTAAAATGTTGTTGTTGGCACGCAAACGTAGTGAAAATATAAAGAAACTTCCCTTGGCGCTCAAAACCATAGAACAGACATCAATCGATAGTAAAAGGGTTTTCTCGATTTTTCGCAACATTTTAACAGAAGTAAAGAATTGATTGTCTCCTCGTCTTTTTACGTTTTGCATGCTTAACTTCATTTCAAAGAAAATCCAAAATGTGTTTAATAATCAAACAGATTTTAAATTATAAATTGAATTTGAATAAAGCTTGTTTCTAAAATTTCTTGTTTGTATTGAAGAATTTAATTTTAAGAATTTTTAATATAGTCACTTAATTTTTTCATAATAAATTGAATTCATTCATTTCTAGTAACGATAAATTTCTACAGCCAAAATACTGTAATTATAACTTATAAGACATCGAAATTCCGAGAATTGAAAAATATGAGACCTGAGGATTTAATATTTTTACTGTTTTAAAGTCCATACATTACTTAATTTTCTACTTAACATTGATATTATATGCAACATTCATTTGTATTAATTTCAATTTGTACTTATTTGTGTATGATTAAATGCAATATATTACTCAAACTAATTATGTATGTCTTAGAGTAGTCTTTTTATTTCAGTTTTGGAAAGTTGAATAGAAGACGTTTTTATTCTGCTCCATTATGAAAACAAATAATTTTAATAAAACTCTCCTGGTGTTTAATAATATTTAAGAATCCCTACCATGATCTGGAACATCTAAATATGTACCAATGCAAAGCATGAGAGCAGCCAGTGCTGAAATAGAAATCTTACGTAAATGAAGTAATAAGAACAAAATGCCATCTTGTGATATTGTAGCACGGACGTTACCACTGTAGATTTAAAATGCTTAGTACTGAATTTCTTTGTATTTCGCATAAAATAAAAGTAACTAGTAAAGTAAGTTACATCGAGAAACTCGAAACAATGTTTGTTGATGTAGTTACCCTGAGCGAGCAGATTGAGTAGTAATATATCAAATAAAAAGGATGATAAGTGATTTATTGCTCACAAAAGAAAAAAGATAATGTAAACTACAGATAAAAAATCTGCTTTGAACTTCGCCACTCCTGGACATGTTCAATCTTGTGCTCCAGTTCCAGAAGGTTCCAGAAAATTCCTACTACAACAAACTGCTAGTGAGATATTCCAGGAATATATTGATTTGAAAAAATTGTGAAAATTCCTAAATTTTGGTATTATTACTTTGATCACTGTTGAAATAAGTTAGGTACTCTTGTCCAAACTATAGCTATTTACAAAATAAATATAGTTTAAATTTTAAAACAATCAATAAAAAACATTAGTAATATAATAATAAACAAAATAAAAACAATAAAATCATAAACAATACGTAAAACTATACGTTTTACTCTAACCAGATAAATAATAATCATTAACATGCTAGCGATTGAAAGTAAATCTTACCTATGATTAAAAAAGGTATAGTTCCCGCAGGAGGCACAAATGGTATATTAAAATACATGGTCAATCCAAATGACGAAGCCAAAGACATTCCTCCCGACGTTAACGCAATTATTCCAGTCCAAGGTTTGCTTTCGATCCAACTGTTATACAAACAGGTCAACATTGAAAAGATTGCTATTGCTAACATTGCAATCGGTATTCGAGGAAATATTCGACTGACGACAGCAGATAACTCTTGTTCAATTGTAATCGATGTGTATCGATCGACGATTATGTACTGAAATTTACTCGATTTAATAACATCTAAAAACAGATTTTGCCATTCTTTCACTTTGCTTCTTTGAACTTTCGAATAGTCGTTAAAGTAATAAACGAGCCGCAATACTTTTGCACTTTTAACGTAATCTTCTGCATTTTTTTCGACTCCTCCTAAAAATAGACTCGTTAATTGAAAATCGTATTTATTTCTCTTGCTTAAAGGATATTTGATGCAATAAGTGTGGTTTTCCGTCATTTCGACTTTGTATTGCATTAATAAAATAGAATTCTCGAAGCATCTCTTATTATTTCTTGCGCATAAATCCTTATATGTGAAATTCTCTGCAGTTTTTAAATTTCGAATAATTTCATCCAATTGAATAATTTCTTGAAATACTTCTTTTCGAAGCACGGATCCTTTGTCTTTGGCTGTTATTAGGACTACTGCTATGTTAGGTTCTCTGTTCATCCTTCCCATGTGTGCATCGGAAGATAGATTCATTGCAAATAATCTTTCTATGGAGGCTTCTTCAGTAATGTGTCTGGTATTTTTGGGTGCAATTAAATATTTTACATTCGTTTCTTCGTGCCACTTGTGAAGACCCGTAGCTAATACCACGGATACAATCACCGGGATGACGATAAAGTAAGAAGGATTTCTACCAATACATAATCCTAATTGTCTAAACTTCTTCGATAAGAAAATATTGATATATTTCAATTTCATAACGGATCTGAAAAATATTTAATCAATTCGTATGATTTTTATATAGTAATTAATAACTAAATTCTAATATAAAAATTCTAAAAGTATTTTAATAAGTCAAGAAAACTTCTGATTAATGCCAATAATAATTTAAAGTAAAAAGTCTGAATATTATGATAATATCTGCACATGGGAAAACGTCCAATGGTTGAAAAATGAATAGTTTCAGTATAATTGAAAAAATAAAATATTTCATTAACAAAAATCAGAAAATTGTAATAGATTCATGAAATTATCTAGATGGTGTGTTTGTGGGATAATCCAGCTTTTAGTGAGAATGCATAAGTTATAAAACTCGTTGAGAATAGTTGGAAATGACAGGCATTAATTTTTAATAAATTTAACGTTTGTCATAAAAGTCCTGAAAGAATTAACAGGTAATTACATTTATAATCTTTAAAACCTTCATAACCTGGAGCTGCGAGAAAACAATTAGATACAAAAATAAACAAGAAGAAAAATCCTTACTTGTATATGGATAATAGGTTTATTAATTAAACATTAAATTGTTTAAAACAATTTTTAACACTCTCCATTTAAGGCAGTAAGAAGGTGTCTATAAAATGTCAATAAAATATCAAAAAGCTTGGTTCTGAGGGTACAAATTAGTTTTATAAAAATGTGTAAATGCTAATAATGTGTAAAATCTTCATTAAAGTGTACTCCGGATGACATATGATACTGTTCTATCTCGTCATCTTTATTCCCCCTAACCACCAAAATTTAATAACATCATTTCCCTCTATACACAAGCTACTAAGCCAACTTTCATTTTTTTAACTTCACCTCGTTCTGAGAAATTAAGCGAAATAGATGCCAACAAACACACAAAATTGGTAAACATTACATGAAGCATTGGCTATAAATTTATATGAAATTTTGGTTACTTCATCTACGATTTAACAATAGAAAAATTTAGAAAGTTCTTACTCTCGAATTGACAAAACACTCAATAATAATTAGTATTAAAATTAAAATAATGAAGCAGTAAATACAGTAAAATGGATCGTATGATATAATAAATATCATATATATAATTGGATATTCTTACTGATTTTTACTATAAATTTGCTACTGTCGTGCATGAAATAAGAAGAGAAACTAATTTAATTTAATCTCATTTTCTGCTTTAAATACATTAAATAATTTTTAGAATTACATACCTCTTTCGAATTCCTATATCACAGCAGTAAATACAATCGTCTAACGATATAATTTTTTAAATTAACAATTTGATAATTTTAATTAATAAATTCAATTACGATTGGTGAATTATTCAGAGGGAAGTGTGACCATCGCAACAAAATTTATTTCAATTTGTGAGTTATTTTAAAACATAAACATTATTTTACGTGCAACTTTGACGTTTTTGACACGTGTGTGTCTTCTACCAATAGGATATTCAGGAAAAATATTCGTAATTTATTTCCGCATAATTAACCTCAAACTTAATTAAAGAAACTACCTCTTAAAAAATGTTATTTAAAAAATTATATAATATTTAATTTAAAATTTATGTTATTATCATTACTTTTTACGAAATGTTTTAAAATATATTTCTGTTTTTTGAACAGTTACGAAGAAACTGTTGAGAATCTCGATGAAGGAATTTTGTTTCAGAAACCGCAAAAAGTTTACATTTTCGTTTTCCTCTATTAGACCTATAAACGAAATAGATCTACGTATTCAAATATTCCGTAGTTTAATTTGAGATATTTGAAAAGTATTATTTTATCTTTCGAAGCGATTTATAAATGCCCACGTCCCCAAAAAGCCCGGACCTCGATACACTCTACATCGTACAGCTACTACGGATACGTTGCTACTTTTGACAGGTTGACACGTGACTTCTAATACTCTTGTTTCCTGTTAATTCTATATATGCATGAGTAATGACGTGTAATTTCCACGCGCCTCTCGTTTCATCGAATTGTTGAAAACGATTTAGGAACATTTTCTAACAATATGAACAATACAGTATTTGTTATATTATTCGGTATTGCTGACTCGCTATCTTTTCTTGTTTGCCCATTTCGTCGTGCTATTTTATCATTATTTCGTTTCGTTTTTTAAATACTGTATTATATAATTATATTAAAATTTTAATTTTATTTACAAAACAATTATCAGGTTTATGACAATTGATTAACTAAATATATTGATTTCTTTTGGTCTATCTACTTTTTTCTTAATTTCCGTACTACAGAAGGTGATGAACTTGCGAGTGAAACTGGTTTCTATTTACGTGTTACTAATGTGAAGGAAACCGGAAAACTCCAAGTGGCCAGCCCATTGCTCAGGAGCGAACCCAAGATAAGCGTTTGTTGTTTTTGTTCAGTCGATCACTGTGTGTTAAATTCTAAAGATAAAACAGAACTGTACTATAATGCTTTGTCATTGTTATTAGCGGAGTAGGAATGATTAAGAATTAAAAAAATATTTTATTTAATAGAATTTACTCGTAATTAATATCGCGATATATACAGATTCCGACGAATTTCATTACATGTGATATTCGCAAATTAGTTTCAGCTTTTCTCTCATAACTTCGTTTTATAGCCAAGAAAATAATTATTTTATTGCAAAATATTTTCTAATGTTTTCCTTAACAATACATACGAGGTACAGTACAGTACATCTGTATTTTTTTCCTTGATAAATATTTGATTATTTAATAAATTAATTTAAATATGTCCATTAGCTTAAATAAAATTTCAGATTAAATTCTATAAAAAAGAAAACCTTGAAATAAATTTTTAATTTAATATCTGTGGCCACTTCCTGTTGAATGGTTAATTATTCTCCTTTCATCTCAGTTATTTACTTCTCTCGGATCCGTGCTGTTCGGTTCCAGGTATTTGCTTTCTGTCATATTATTTTCGGATTATAGAATTGATGAATTAAGACATGCAACACACGGTCAACCTGCCAAAAAAAGACGCATACTCATTTTATTCTAAGGTTTTTATCTACTACAAAAATATCAGTTTTGTTTTGCGTTAATAATCTGTTCTAAAAGACATAAACGGAAAATAAGCACAATATTGTATATACAAATCTTATATCTGTAAAATTATTTATAAATTTGAATCACCGTTTAACATTAATTGTTAGACATAGGGGAGACTGGGGCAACTTCGGCATGCGGGGCAAGTTTGTCAAGCGCTTTTTTTTAAAAACAAATTAAAAGGAGACTTTGGTTATAGGTTACGCAGTTGAGTTTTATTGGTGGCTTGTTGAGTGTAGTGTTTTTATTGTTCTCCAACAAGCGTAGTTGAATTATCAAGCAAATTTTCATTTTCGTTCAATTCCATATAATATTTTTTTTCCATTTATATTGAATTGGCAGGTTTTGTTATAATTCCATGATAACGAAAGTTACTTTTCCTGTTAGAAGGATGTAACTTCAACTTATTCACGTGGCCAGATCGTGGCTTGGCATTCTGTTCTCAGGGTTGTACTTAATGTTTCGAAATCATGACTAGCGGGGTAAGATCGGCAACATAAAGCCACATTAGAAGCAAAGGATAAAAATCAAACAGATGATAAATGAAAACATGTTTGCATTTGTTATTCATGTATATATGTCTTTGAACTTGCATTTCGTTGTAATAATATTAAATGGGTGTTGGATTTGTATTTCTTTGTTTTAATAGTGAATTCCAACTTATACATTGTTAATAACATAATTTTATATACGTGCCTATCTTGCCCCATTACTGTTGCCCCTATACCAGGGGCAACTTTAATAAAAATAATTAAAATAATTACAACTTTACAAAAAGAGAGAAGTTGCCGATCTTGCCCCTATACCCGGGGCAACTTCGTCAATTTCTCTCTTCTTGTAAAGTTGTAATTATTTTAATTATTTTTATTTCCAAACTGATTTTAACCAGTTCTATAGTAAGGTAACATTCCAATAGACAATATGCAAAGCTTTTTTTTTCAGTTTACAGCAGTATTTATTACACAAAATTTAAGTAAAGCTTAACATGCCGATCTTGCCCCGGTCTCCCCTATATAGCTCTCACTCTGCTCCTTCATATGATATAATTTATAATTCGATAAGTGCATTGTGGTTGTGGATCATATTATCATTTTTAACTTTAAATAATTTAATTTTAAATATTGATGTTGCGGAAGCAAAAAGTATCTATTGTATATGTTCGATATAGATGATAAAACCTACCAATATTCGTTCCGTATCTCTTCTTTTTTTCGTGGGCCGAATAAAATATACAATAAAACCTGTGTAAACCGGAGTCGCAGGTATAAAATAATTATTTCGTTTTGAACAGCTTTTCCTTTTAACATATATAATTGCTTCGTACCGAAGAATTTTTCCGTTCGTGCTGGTATTCTTTTAATTCGGGTTCCGTTTTAGATGTTGTTTATCGTGTAATATCGTGTATTTTAGGTAAATATTTTAACTTTAACATAAGTAGAAGAAAAAAATAAATATAAAACTCGGAATCCGACAATTAATTGCT